GAGAGGAGGAAGCTGGGGCACGAGAGGAGGAATCTGGGGCAGGAAAGGAGGAACCCAGGGGCGGAAAAGGAGGAACCCGGGGGTGGAAAAGGAGGAATCAGGGCGGGAAAGGAGAAACCGAGGTGGGAAAGGAGGAACCGAGGTGGGAAAGGAGGAACCCAGGGCAGGAAAGGAGGAAGCTGGGCAGGAAAGGAGTAACTGGGGATAGGAAAGGAGGAAGCGGGGTGGGAAAGGACGAAGCGGGGTGGGAAAGGAGGAAGCAGGGGCGCAGCGGTTACCCTGGTCGAACTGCCGTTGCAGGCTCTCCATCTCCGACTTGTTCCCGCTCACGCGATAGATGCCTTCGGTGCTCAGCCCTGGCAAGGGAGGGGAAAAAAAAGAGGCGAGGGGGGCACACAGGCAAATTTTAGGAACATTAGTTAAAAATTTAAGAATTCCCAATTAATATCAAAGTTGAACCAACCTGCCCGGCGCTCCACCCAAAATTTCTCAGCTCTGATTGATCTTTAGAGCAAGACAGAGGGGAAAAAACCATGGGGAAAAAAAGCCTGGAGCTTATTTTGGCTGTTGGGAGGTTGGAAACTTCACGCTGTACCCACCACTATCAACCGCTCTGAGGGAAAGGAGACCAGGATGGGAACGGCAAATACCCGAGGCTGGGATGGGGACACAATATCCAGGCTGGGATGGGAACAAAAATATCCGAGGCCGGGACAGAGACACAAATATCTGAGGCCGGGATGGGGACACAAATACCTGAGGCCGGGATGGGAACGTAAATACCCGAGGCCGGGATGGGAACGCAAATACCTGAGGCCGGGATGGGAACGCAAATACCCGAGACCAGGATGGGAACAAAAATATCTAAGGCTGGGATGGGGACACAAATATCTGAGGCTGGGATGGGAAGGGCAAATATCCGAGACCGGGATGGGGGCGCAAATATCCGAGGCTGGGATGGGAACGTAAATACCCGAGGCCGGGATGGGGACGCAAATATCCGAGGCCAGGATGGGGACACAAATACCTGAGGCCGGGATGGGGACATAAATATCCAGGCTGGGATGGGGACACAAATATCCGAGGCCGGGATGGGAACGTAAATACCCGAGGCCGGGATGGGAATGCAAATACCCGAGACCGGGATGGGAACAAAAATATCTAAGGCTGGGATGGGGACACAAATATCTGAGGCTGGGATGGGAAGGGCAAATCCCGAAGCCGGGATGGGGACACAAATATCCAAGGCTGGGATGGGAAGGGCAAATATCCAAGGCCAGGATGGGGACACAAATATCCGAGGCCAGGATGGGGACACAAATATCCGAGGCCGGTGTTTCTCAGGTCCCGCTTGTTTTGCCAGGTAATAAAAAAAAGGATCTGGGGCAGGGGGAGGGGAGGGGAAAAGTTTTACGCCTTTCCCGAAAAAACAGGGCGACCCGAGCTTGCCATACGTTGCCATCGTGCTCCAACCTTGGACGCAAGACCTTTTCCCCAGGGCCGAAAGCTCCGTGGTTGGCGGCTCTTACCCGTCGCTTCGATGTACTCGATGCATCTCTCGATAAAGATGGGGATGGGTTTCTCCGGAGTCACTACGGTGGTCAAAGGCACCCCAAAATAGTTGCTTTCCCACGTCGTCTTCGTGATGGACGGCCGAGGTTTGGGCTTTGGTTTCTGCGGGAGAGAGCGGAGCGGAGTTGAGCCAAATACCCCCCCAAAAAACGCTTAAATCAGCAAAAAAAAAAAAAGGACATGGAGGCCGCTCTTAAAATCTCAACCCGGCGAAGGGTATCAGCAGCCAAACCTGAGGAGCAGCACGACCCGATCCAACGGGAAAGCCGCAGCCCCAACAAACGCCTGCGGCTCCGAACAGTGCCAAGCGTAGCCCCGGATGAAGCCTAAAACCCAGCGACCGCTTTGCCGGGCTGAATTCCCAGTTGAGCCAGATCCAACGGGAGCAAAACCCTCCCAGACATGCTCCAGCGTCCACACCATCCTCACCGGACGCCACGAGACCCGGATAATGTGCCGGTTCTGGGGATCGTTATTTATTCCCGCGATTTATTATCTACCCCAACGTGCTGTTATTTACCCCAATGCGTATTTTATTCCATATTATTCCGTTACGAATAAGACACAGAGAGGAACCCAATGAAGTTCACCAAGGGCCAAGTGTCGGGTGCTGCCCCTGGGGAGGTTGAACCCCAGGCACCAGTACAGACTGGGGGCTGACCTGCTGGGAAGCAGCTCTGCCCAGAGGGACCTGGGGGTCCTGGGGGGCAACAAGGTGGCCATGAGCCAGCAGGGTGCCCTGATGGCCAAGAAGGCCAATGGCATCCTGGGGCACATCAAGAGGAGCGTGGCCAGCAGGGCGAGGGAGGTTCTCCTCCCCCTCTACTCTGCCCTGGGGAGACCCCACCTGGA